TTCATTTATTAAGTACTACAACTTCAAAATGGTTGATGCTAGAAACATCAAACTAATAATTCTCTAGTGTGTGTGTGTGTGTGTGTGTGTGTGTGTGGTGGAGGCAGTAATTTAAAATAATTTTTCAAAACTGACCATTTGCTCTAATTCTTGAATCAAAGGTCAAAGCAAAAAAAAAAAGATTTAAGACTGCATGATCAAAATCAAAATTTAAAACAGCTGTGTCCAAAATTAAAAGCTTCTTGAAAGATTTACAAAGATCTGGCAACATTTTATAATAAATAAGAATGTAATACAAAATTTAAGTGAGACACATTAAACAAAAAGACCATCTTATTACACATAGTATCAAATTTTTTTTCAATGTGAACTGAAAAATAATTTGCCAATTTTAATGTTGAAATTGTTATTTAACAATCAAGATTTAAAAAATATGTATATTGCTGAATGAGAATAAAAAAAATTCTCGGGAGATCAGCATTTTCATAGCTATATCAAAAAGGATAATGGAATTCAGTTTTATCAAAAGATTTTCAAAATGTAGGCTTTGAAATTAGAATTAATAATATAAAATAAATAAATTAAAAAAGGAAAACGATTAACCAAGTTGTATGAAAGGACAACCCTACCACAGATAGAAAGGGTGGAGTCCCAAGCTATCAACAATGAACAATTGAAATTAACATCATGACAGTATTCTATCAAACAACAATGAAAGAAGATAGGAAAAAAAAATCAAAGTAACATATTTTGCATGGAGACCATATATATATATATATATATTGGTTACAGACAAAAAATTAAACTCAGTATAACTCACAAAATTGTTACTTTATGCTTGCCTGATCCAAGACCCACAATGTAATCTATAATAATAAAAACTGATTCTCTTTCAGTCACACAGTCTGCATATGACTTTGCATGTGTTTATACCATTTAATATATGCACATGCCTACAAATAACTTAACCAAGTTTGAAATAAGACATTGAAATAATAACCATCCCTCCCACTCTACCCTGGGCTGAGCAATAAAATCAAAGTTGATAAAAAAAAATAATTTAACTCTAAAATATCAGAATTACAAGATTTTTATTGAATTTTGTAAAAATGATTTGGTAATAAATAGGATATCTTTTTTTTTTTTTTTTTTTGTAAAACTATTTTTAAAGTTGTCACTGAATTAAAATATACATGTGCACAAGATTTTTTTTTTTTTTTTTTTTTTTTTAAGCGTTTCACCCCAAGCAAGGCAGGAAGCCACTAGCACGCAAGGGGTTACAGAGAGTTGGAGTGAGAGCAAAGAGGAGTGATAGAGGAAAGGATGAAGAAAAGGATAGGGGATAGATCAAGGCATCTGGAGACGTCAATTGACATTACATTTGAATAGTTGGAGATTATAGCTATCAGAGAAACAAGAAAAGGCGAGGGAGTTCTACAGGCGAGAAGTGCGAGACATGAAGCTATTGGTGTAGAAGAGACGACTAAATTTAACAGTTTCAACAGTGAAAGGGTGAGAGCGAGATAGAATTGTATTAATTAACAGCAGAAAGCTTTTCTATTACAGATTGTTGGAACAAACCAATAGTAAAATCAAAGTTTTCAAAATGCCAGGTGAGCTTCTGTTACAATATTTATGAGTAATATCAAACATTAATACAATGAACTTTCACAATATTCACATGAGTAAGGCAAATGAAGATAACATCGCAGTTAATTTGTATAGAAATAAAGTGGTAAATGAAGCAGATAAAAAAAAAATAGACAATGGCAGAATTTGTTTTTTCTTTAAATATTTCCAGATAAAACATTATCATGAACATTATGTTAATGACAAATCAATAAAATATATCAGTATGCAAGAAAGACACGACTGGCTGATAGGAGTGCTGAGACACAAAAGAGCCAACCAGGGATTAAGCATGAGCCACATCAAGTTTTGCTGCTAAACATTAATTTTGGTGTGTCGAACATTATAAAAACAAATTCGGATTTTCAGAATTCCAGATGACAGAGAACCATAATAGTATTAGTGAACATGCTGATTTCACAAGCCATTAGTTTTCATCTTTAGTAGAAGTGATATAGCTAAAGAACAGTGAACAAAAGTTTACTAAGTTTGTAACCATCAAATTAATTTCTGTTGAACTGACATTGAAAGTAGATATCAATTGAGTGTTTGTTTCAATAAAATAATCTTGTGCACCTTGCAATGAAAAGCAACATTTTTTAAGCTAGACACATATTTTAAATAGCAGTAACAATTACATTATTATTATTATTAATAACTAGCAACGTGGCCCGGCATTGCCCGTGCTCGATTCAAAAATTGCACGACTCATACAGCAATTGCTATCACCTGACTTAAAAAAAATATTTTTGCCCTTCCTTGCCTTTAAAAGGAGTGCCCTTTTCTGTGCTGATGTTGCTACATGCCTTACTTCTTGCCTATCTCACACTGCGAATTTTTTCTAAGCTCTATACTAAACATTAAATCTGTTACGAAAAAAGAACTAAAAATGAACACAAAATGATCAGCTTTAAAAAAGGACTCATAACTGGAAAAACCGAATGAAAAAAGAATGTTAACAATACTTTTTCACACCTAACCCAGTTCTGCGGAATCAGAATCAATGTTGAGTTTAAGTGTTTAATGAGCCAATTGGAGTAAAGTGCCATGCAGATTTAAATTTTTCCCACTTGTGATGAATGCAGCTATCGATTTTTTGCATGCTAGCATGCTAGTTAACATTTGTGTCAGTCAGCTGTTGGCTCTCATGCTGGCCAATAGAATCTTCCTGCCTATTCGTGGCTCTCAGTCTGGCCAGTACAAAATGGCCACAAACTACATTAAAACTGCCGTAGAAGCATGAAAAAAAAATCGATTATTTCCACTATCGATGGGAGTTGGGAAATGCAAAGTCGGTCTTTTTCTGTGGCAGATTGCTTTCACAAATGGATCCAGGGTTCAGCCATGCAAGTGACCTTACAAGAGGGTATTTAACGGGAGACTTTACCAGAAATTTCTCAATGATGGTGACAAACATAGTCTTTGTTGCAATTCTGCATGTAAACAGATTTTTTGTTGTCACATTTCCTTTTTTGGATAAATTTTGCATAACCATAACTGCCAGAAACCCACAATCAATCTTTGCAGCATCTTTATGCATGTTTGGGTTTGACAATATTCTTTCTTTCTTAGCGGGAAACGTAATTTTCTTTCTTAGCGGGAAACGTAATTTTTTTCTTTCTTTTAGCGGAAACGAAGAATTTTTTTCTTTCTTTCTTAGCGGAAACGTAATTTTCTTTTTTCTTTCTTAGCGGGAAAAATTTTTTTTTTCTTTCTTAGCGGGAAACGTAATTTTCTTTCTTTCTTTCTTTGCGGGAAACGTAATTTTCTTTTTCTTAGCGGGAAACGTAATTTTCTTTCTTTCTTTCTTAGCGGGAAACGTAATTTTCTTTCTTTCTTTCTTAGCGGGAAACGTAATTTTCTTTCTTAGCGGGAAACGTAATTTTCTTTCTTAGCGGGAAACGTAATTTTCTTTCTTAGCGGGAAACGTAATTTTCTTTCTTAGCGGGAAACGTAATTTTCTTTCTTAGCGGGAAACGTAATTTTCTTTCTTAGCGGGAAACGTAATTTTCTTTCTTTCTTTCTTAGCGGGAAACGTAATTTTCTTTCTTTCTTTCTTAGCGGGAAACGTAATTTTCTTTCTTTCTTTCTTAGCGGGAAACGTAATTTTCTTTCTTATCACTGATATTTTATCAGAAACAGTTCAATGCCTTTTAAAACACAAAAATCTGCAGTTTCACTGGAAATAAAAATGTCATTCATGTTTGACTTTTTTTTCTTTTTTTTAAATTTTATATAATTAAGTTGATGACATCTGGCCAAATATCCAGTTGTTCACATGTTTGTATATTTTCTATTCATCAATGGCAGAAATACAAAAGTAAAGGGACAGGGTTGCCATATTGAACTTTTAATAGAAAGCCAAGCAATAAAAGTTAAATAAATTTTAATATATTTCATCATTTTTTTTCACTTACAACAAAAGCTAGAGATACAGGTCATTATTAGCCTGCAAACTTTAAGAATAACATTCTTAGTTTTTTCAAAGATCCATTTTCTATCTGATCCTAAAACCCATCAAAAGGTACACTTTCTATTCTATCATCCTTCCTGTCCATTTTCTTTGAGTCAAATTTAATTCTCAAATTTGTTAAGTTTAGCAACAATTTAAACAAATGTACTTTACACATAGATACATATTGACATGCATAAAGTACATTTTTTCAGCATGAATTCATCCACTGCTGACTAGAGATAAAAAGGACTTTTTACTTTTGAAATTGACATGTAAATATCATTTCTTCAATGGTTAAAATTTTTAAAAAATACTGATAAATTTTTGAAAAATTCTACTAAAATGTATTTTATTACTGTAAAATAATTTATTTTCCTTTCAACTACAAATTCAGTGATTTTGAATTAATTTACTTGTTTTTGACACCTTTTTATCTTTGCTTTTCCTTTTGAGTGAGAGTAGCAGCGAAGAGAAGACAAGCCTTCATTTTCTTTCTCCCTTTCTTTCTCATCACCTAGATGAGAAAATACAGAAGTAACTACGAGATTATGAACTTCTTCTAATCAAGGAAATAAACCACTGTTCGCAATAATTGCCAAATATTATGGACAACTAAAAATCAGTTTTCTTAAAGGACACTTTTAGCTTGTAAAAAAAGCCAAATTTCTGGGGTTTTGAATTTCAACTTTGAGAAAAAATTTCAGGATTTTTCAAGGAATTTTTGGGCTATTGCTGTTTTTCTAGGACATTCCAAGTCCTGGAAAAGGCCCTGTCAATTTTCCAAGGTTTCCAGGATTTATATGAAACCTGGACAAGAGTGAGGATAAGGCAAAAAAGAGAGTTGAGAGAAGACTGGGAAAAAAAAAAAAATAATGGTCCAGTTGAAGACATTAATAAGAGAAAACCTATCACTTACTTTTCTGGTTGGAACTGCAGCCTGTGCACAGGTCGATGATGTGGCATATATGAACAAGTTGGTCGTTTTTCTAAATTCCTCACATCTTTTACAATAATTCTACCTTCTTCATCCCCAACGGCTACAGCATACCCATCACCATTTTGCCATGTGCATGCAGTTGGACATAACTGAAGTGGTGATTTGTCTGAAATGGGAAGAAAAATAAACTTTTTATCAAACTATATTTTCAAAATTAAAAACTCTGTAAATATTCTTCTGAATTTAAAATACCATCATAAAAGTTTATTTCTAGAAAATGCAAAAGCATGAAATAAAAGAAATTGAACAACATGGAATACTTTTCTGCTGTGCAAATTTATTACAGAATTTAAAAAACAGGTGGGGGGAGAGTCATGATGATTCTTATCAAAGACATGATAAAATAATGCATTTGATACGTGTATAAATCTGTGCATGCAATCTGTAAAGTGTGTAATATTCATATTTTGAAATATACAAGAACCAAGGAAGCAGATTTAGCCAATTTGCAAATGTATTCATAACAGAACAGCATTTTAAAATGGGAAAATAGCATTACAAGAAAATATTTACAGCTTATCTGTGTAAAAAAGGCAGCTTAGCTACACACACACACACACACTTCAGGGGTGGAACTGATAAAGCTTATTTTGCCTGTAGGCCTTAATTAAATAATTGAAAGTTAAGAAATGTGGAATAAAACTGAACTTTCCCCAATTCTAAAGCAGAATGTACAAGCAATAAAAGACATTCAAAAAGACAAAAAGGAGCTTCAAAATATTTCCATTACCCTCACTATTGAGAGAGAGAGAGAGAGAGAGAGAGAGAGAGAGAGCTGTAAACATTTGTTCATATACTAGCTTGGGTAAACATTGAGCAAATAAAGCCCGTCAAAGTTGGCTAGAGGTCAAAGAGAATAGAAACATTGATGAGGTTCCTGCTAAAATAATCTAACACAGATGCATACATGCACACATACAGAAGGTGTGTGTGAGAGAAAGAAAAAAAGAAACAAAAAAAAAAAAAACAACAAAGAGCAGGAGAAATATCTGTATACACTAACCTAGAAACCCTTGGAAAGCCCCCCCATCAAAAAAAAAAAAAAAGAAAAAAAGAAAAAGAACTTTTCAGAAGTAACTTAGTATATATATATATATATATATATAAAAAAAAAAAAAAAAAAAAAAAATCAAAGTTTATTTTTCCAATAAATGTTATTTTGATAAGATTGGTATTTTCTTCATGGTACCAACTACATTATTTGCTGATCTCTCATCTTCCAAGAAGTGTTGAAGTGGGACTATAATGTACATTAACAAAACTACACTTACAGGAAACTTGTGACTTGAAACTAAACTTAGCACCAATATTTGTAAAAATTATATTGCCTTTCTTGTTCTTCAGAAATCCATATCATCACAAATACATAAAAAAAATTAAAACCATTTTTAGTGTATCCTTTGTTTTATCATAATTCTCTAATTTAATTTAGTGAATGCAAGTGATTTTTTTAAAAAGGAGGATGAAATGCAATTTCACAATGTAAAACAATTTTTAGAGCTTAGATTTATACTTTATTTCATAAATATGCATTTTTTTGTTTAAAACAATGAACATACAATCAGGGTGTGTTGTAGGCCAATAGCTAGCAAGTTTTGCAGACATTTTTTTTTCTCTTTTTCTCAAATAGGCCATACTATAACTATCAAGAACAGATCATAACATAAGCATGGAATTCAACATTTCTTCACATATCTACATCAATAAAACCTTTCTCAAAATTATTAATAATGAGTTTGATTCTTACTGGGTGTTTCATATATTGGTGATCTTATATTTAAGCTGAGTGAGAGGGATTACATCAGTAATTTTGTGGCATAACAATAAGCATTTATTTTACATAATAAATGCTTAGTTTGCAACATAATTCTTGGATGAATATTAATCAGCAATCAAACATTATACAGTGGTGTTTTCAAATCAAAATTCAGTTAATATTTGTGTCAGGTTTATTGCTTCACTCTTGTATACTTTGATTTAAATATGTAAATTATCAATACTCTGCTTCCAATATTTAGTTTAAGCAGATTTTTTAATGGTATTTGAACTGTTTAGAGTCCTTTTATGTCAAAACTGATTTATTTTGGTTTATATTTAGGGAAAAATGGACAATCTTTGTTTTTTGGTGAGGTTTTATTTATATATATATATATATATAAGAAATATAGTCTTAAGATGTGTTATATTTATGGGATAAAGTGCTCAATAGAGAGAGTGTGTGTGTGTGTGTAAATATAAGAGTGAACATAGAAGTTAACACTTAGAGGCGACAGTGTTTCATGCTAGATGCAATTGTCAGGTCTGACGCATTGCACCTAGCATGAAACAGACTGTCGCCTCTAAGTGTTAACTTTATGTTCACTTTTTTTTATATATATATATATATATATATATATATATATATATATATATAATCCAACTCATTTCAGCAATGTTAATCCTATTTACTTTAATATTTTCAAATAGTTCTCTTAGGCTGTTTGCCTTGAAGAAATTGTCTTTTTGAGTCAAGATCAATGCATTGAATTAGAAAATGTTTGAGTGTATATTGGGGTTTGGCATGTAAGACACCATGGTGGTTCTTTTTGTTTCAGTAAGACTGAATGTGTAATTTTAGTGTGCTCCTTCCAATAATTCACATGCTTAATAATACATTTTTATAAAAGAATGTACAGAGTACTTTCCACCATTTCATAATTTAAAAACTTGTCCATCAAGATAAACACTGGAATAGGCAGTAATAAAATCAGAAGAATAAAGAGAGGTTGGAATTTTTTCCCCAGCTGAAGTCTTTAATCTTTTGAGATGTGATTTTTGCTATGTGGGGCCAGTGCATTATCATAATGGAGTGACACCTTTGTGATTTATCAAACTAGGTCATTTTTTCTTCAAATCAATGATGTGTAAATATACTAACTTCTGACAATAGATGTCTAATGTAATCTTAACATTGACTGGTAGCAGCTAACAGTGATCATTCTCAATGCAATTCCAACAGACACTAACTAAAACTTTCCTTGAATGGAAGTCAATTTGGAGTTGGTTATACTTCATATTTTTGCAAAATAACTATTTTTCATAACTAGTCACTACTCTGTCAAAATAGCAAGATATATTCACAAGGTTACAGATGTCTACCTTTAAAAAATATTTAACAACAGTCAGGATCATCAAGTCAAAGCAAACAATGCTTTCCTTAGCTGCATAGTATGTGCTTTGCCAGTCTTGAATTCAACATGTTCCTTCTTAGACCAGTTGCCACCCAAGGCTATAGAACCCAGTTTGTCCTACTTATCTATAGCTGGGGAAAGAAGATGGATTCATAGGTTTCCTAAAAGTATTAGCACATAAGTGAATGTAATGAACTCTACTGGAATTCAAACTCGGCTCTCTGATGCCACAATCCATTACCCCACTGTGCCTCCTATTGTCTACATTTACTTCTATCAAACCATGAAGAATCCATTTTTCAAGTTTAGGCATCTCCTCAATTTGTTGTAGCTCAGACAAAAACCAGGTCAACATTAAATTGAAAAGGACAATCAGTTCCTTGTGCATCTCTTAAGCAAGCTTTATGTCATCTTTATAAAACCTTTCAAACTATGCTCGTTTATATATATATATATATATATATATATATATGATGGGCACATGGCTGAGTGGTTAGAACGTTCACATTCTGAGACCCAAGGTTCAAATTTCACCATGGTTGATTTGTCAGGAAGGAGACTTGCTGATGTTATTAGACTGAAGGGGTCTATCCCAGCACCTTTGGAAAATACCTGAAAACCATACCATGAGTTGACTCAAGCCTTGTGGGCTGCCAATATCTGTCAGCACAAAGTCACAAGTCATTGTGGCCAAGGGCTTGAGCATGCTGGCCTTGTTCAAATTGTTGATCACACTAGATAACACACTCTTTCCCAGAAACTGTAACTACGGTCTGCTCAGCATAGTTGCAATATAAATCACAGGTGGACTCTGAAAAAAAAAAAACAAAAAAAAACAAACAAATGCGCCTGAGCAAGTGTCTACAATAGGGATTAGCCTGCCGCACTAGTAGATGGGTATCCTTGAATATGAGGGCTATACTATATATATATATATATATATATATATATATATATATATATATATATATATATATGTGTGTGTTTATTAGGTTGCTACCAAAGCCTTATTGCCTTTTCTAAAATAATAGCACTCCTCTTAAATGCCCTGCAGACACACCCATCTTTATGTAACTGGTTTAAATTTGTGTGAATGCATATAAGCATATTGGTAGGTGGGCATTTTAAAACAACAAAAGTATTACCAATCTATTGCTATCATATTTCAGATATGTCTTATGGAATTATTTGATACTTGAAAAAGTCATGCATCTTGAAACTTGATCGCACAAAGGAAAATTGTTTTTAAATGTAGCTGGAGGCAGACCCCAGGAGAAAATGCTATATCTAGTCTTCTATCTTATTGTTACATCAGCTTGAAAGTGATTGAGAAGACAATACAGAGAGGGGGGAAAAAAGTCAGGAGGGGCTTAAATAATATTTTAATCTAAAAGATTGTAGATTGCATCTCCTGATTATAACATTATAGAATCTGCAAGAAATAGAACAGTTCTAAATGAGAAAAGTAAGACATTTTGATATATAAATAACAGCATTCAATATTTGAACTAGAGTGATCAAAGTATTCAATATTAAAGACTTTCTATTGTTGCAATCAGTTTCCATGAAGCAATTACTTTGAAAAGCATACACTGAATTCCTTTGAGTGATAAGTATAGTAACAAAGGATAAAATATGTGTGTGTGTGTGTGTGTGTGTGTGTGTATATGTAAAGTCATACATTTTGTTTAATGTGTTGAGACTGTTTTTTTAAGGATATACAAAATGAGCAAGACAGACATTGAAAGGTGAATATCTACATACCAACTATACTGGCAGGGCGGGATTTTCTGCTATCCCATAATAATATTCTTCCATCCTGAAAATAAGGGAACAAAAGTTTTTGTTATTCTTTTGAATATCTTAAATGGGGAAAAAAAAAAGTAATCCAAAATATCTTTTTGAAAAACAAAATTAGATTAAGAAGCTTGTGAAGTGGGTGGAAAAAAAAAACAAACAAACAAAAAAAAAAAAACCTTTTTAGTAAGAAGTAAGCCTATAACCTGAGATCACCTAACTCTTTGTGATCTTCAAACAGACCAATAAAGAAAATATATTAACATATTTAATGGAATATGAGACCTTACACACTGCTATCTACATTTACAAGTATTATTGTGTTAGTTCAGGTACATATATTGCTAGTCTATTGTACCTGGATAAACATCATAAGCCTAGCAGATACATCAATTTTGCATATAAGACCCAAGAGATATCTCGGTTATTATGGGGACAGAGGAAAGAAAAAGTTTTATATGCTATTAAATACCTTTGTAGTTAATAATTTATTAGTAGAATTATTGATAAGTTTGTGATTATTTTAATGTTTATTAACTCTGAATGAACTGCTCTGCCTTTGGCAAGGTATACATACAAAATATTAGGTGTGTGAAAAAGTTCCAACAGCCCCCCTCTTTTTTTTAAATAAGGAGAGATTGTAAACATTTTTTTTGTTTTAGTTGGGAAATTTTGCACATAAACACTTAAAAAAAAGAAGATAAAAAAAGAAAGAAAAATCAAATAGAACAAATGCATTTATATTTGAAAGAGAAAAAGAGAGAGTGATTATTCACAAAAGTAATTTTATTTTTCTCTTTCAAGGTTTGCAAGATAACCCCACCCCCAATGTAGCAAATATTACAGGACTGTTATGCTCAGTTCACCAATGTAATGATCTTTCATCACAATACATGAAAGTAAACATTTACAAAATACCTTCACTAAGTCTTATTTACACTGAATTTTCTTTTCACCATCAAGGTCAAGACTAATAACATTTGAAAATTTAATTGGGTTCTTCAGATGCAACACAAATCCTAAAGGGCATGAAAGAAAATCCAACAGGAAAAAAATGCAAAAAAGAAAGAAATACAAATATTAATATTAATTAATCTTTTTTTGTTTAAAAAATATATTTGCTATTTTATATATTAATCACTACCTTTTCATTAGCCATTTATCTTAAGATAAATCAAGAATGATCAGTGACAATCATAAAAATGCTTTTTTTACTGATGACAGGATAATCAAATTTCAAAAAATTCAAATTGTCTCTTTAAAACATATTTATTAAAAAATATATTCATTTTAAATACAAAATAAGTCATAAAAACGACTCCAAAAGACCATATAATTTCAGCTTATACTCTTTTCAGGTTATCCAGGGTTGGTTGTCTGACGGAAACTGAAATTAGGCCTCACAAGTTCATTTTGATTTCATTCAAATAGTGAACTGAAGTCTATATGTGCACATATATAGTTTAATTCAATGATAGAGCTAAAAATATTTTTACAAAATTAAAGTTCCAAAAAAAAAAAAAAAAAAAAAAAAAAATTTAGGGGGATATATTATTCCAATGTCTTATTTCAAAAACAGTTAAACTGTGAGTGTGCATATATATTAAATGTCACAAGTATGCATTGTTCACAACATAGACAATGTGTAGTGGACAATTCTTCTTTATAATATAGATTTCAAAAGGGCATCGTCCCCCACCCACTCCCCACAGTAATATGCTTAGAAGAATAATAGTGGTGAAATCTTCTCAAAGTACATTTTTCAACAATTTACCTATTTAAGTGATTCTACATGGAATAAGTAATCAGGTTATCAACCAAGTAAATATGGTTAACCATTACTATTGAGTAAGGAGGTCAAACTAACAAACTTAGTAATTATCTATATAATTTTTACATTTGTTATGTATGCATTTATTTTCTGATGAGGGTGGGGGCAGAAACCGGAGAGTGTAGGCGTCCCAGCCTCTGTTCATTAAACAATGATACCCAGCTAACATCAAAGACATTTTTATATAATATACCATTCACATTTCTGTCAACAGCAATGTCCTTGTCAAGAATCAGGTTTCGCATAATCAGCATTGGAAGAGATAAAAATTTGTCATAGCATTCAGTAAAGCAGCAGTTTTAGTTATCTTTTTCCTTCTTTCTTTTTTTTTTTTTAAGTTTCTGAATCACTTGAATTTCTAAATATACTGCCTCATTACTCTAAAAGAACACCCACAGTGAAAATATATCTTAAACTATTACTTGTATGAAAGTTACTGATGATACTTTAATGTTTCTTATGAATATTTGAGGTATCAAAAGTGTATGTCTGCCTGCACGCATACATTTTACAATATGAAATTTTATGGACAGAGTATACCATTGTTTTCTTGAACACTGCACATAAAATAAATAAAAATCCACAATGGAATTACTTTTCTCTCAGCGGAAGCTTAGACGCTGTTCCATTTTTTTTTTTTTTTTTAAATTATAAATTTATCCCATTATATAAAACAGGTTTGACTGCATAACATTTACTGTATTTGTGTATATATAAAATGGATATTTTACTGCATCTCTATTTGCTCAGACTTGCAAAAAAGAACATTTACTAAATTTTAATGTAAAGAAAAAGTGGCTAAAACAAGTCCCAACAATTTTTTTCTTTTACATTTAATGCTAAATTAAGACATTAAGAATGGTGGGATATTGCTTATGCTTATTTTCCTTTTTTTTTTTTATTTTATCTTTTATTAATGATATTTTTTTTTACTCTCTTTGTCTTCCTTTTCTATACAGTGAACCGGATGTTAAAAAACCAGTGAGGGAGAGGTAGCTATGATAGGTGTTGAGTAGGAATTCATTCAAATTTAGCTATCACTAAACCAGATGGAGGAAAAGAGTTGCCACAATCACACTGCTTGACCTGACAAGTCTTGAATAGCATTGACATACAAGATGGTCAAGATTACCAAGATGTGTGTTTTTGATATGAAAAGTCTCAACACTTTTCTGCAAATGCCAAGAGTTCAGATTTCAAAAGCAAAAAGAATTGCCCCACCCCTCAAAGTTCAAGCTAAGCAGCCAAAAAGAATTTGAGAAAAGAAAAGTAAAAACAGACATCAGAACATGTTGCTGTTCTCGTCACAAGCATTGGTTTCATTTGTGTATCTTTTTCAGGGTTCCCAATCCCAACATTCTCTGATTTTGAGATATCACCTAACAGACAGACAATAGTGAATATATATCTGGACTGAGCACAGCTAAAAAAATGAATGGACAAAGAAACACACATTGCAGAATATACACTGTCTCATCATATACAATGTAACATCTCTACAACAATTATAAACTGGATTTTTTGTGTAATGTTCATGTCAACTACCATAATTTCACAAAAATAATATGCATTTTTTTTTTTTTTTTTTTTTTTTACTGTAAATTACAGGTGATAGTAGGGGTATGTATTATAAATAGGTTTAAACAAAAATATTTTTCTGTTGTTGATTTATAATGATAAATATGTACTTGCTCTAAAATAAGAAAGATATCCCAATTTTCATTTTAAATCCAACAATAATAATTGTAACATTTTTTTTTAAATCAATAAATTTATGTTTATTAGTAACTTTTTTTTTTTATTTATTTATTTGGCAAAAAAATAAATCTATAAAAAGGCCAATTTCGAAGAAAAGAGGCTATCAAGTTAAGAATTTATTGGGATTTTAATTTTCATCACGATCATCACCACTTTCTATTATAGAATCACTATCTAAATTGTCATTAAATAAATTATCATTCACAATATTATCTTAGTCTTGTTCAAAATTATCATTGGCCTCTTCATTCTTTTGCCAAAGGACGTAATCTTCAGAGCCATCCATGGCTGTCATGAGACAATACTTCTTGAAATCTCTTTATAACATTCTCACTGACGGAATCCCAAGATTCCCGAATCCATTTTACAATAAGTTCCAACTCTGGTTTTTTCCTATTGCCACCAGCAGTAAAACTGGGAACACCAGAAAACATCCAGTCATTTCATTTTTTACACATCTCGATTAAATAGATAGTTGCAGACAACATCCATTACTTGAAGTTGGCCAGTCATTCCCCCTGGACCTAATAAGATTAGCCCTTTCTCCTGAAGTATATTCTTCATACGAGGCATCCTAAGGCAACAAAATGCATCAAGAACCAACATATGTTTACTTCTTGCAAATTCTGTTCTGTGTTTACATTAAACATTCAGCAGCCAGTTCTTTGTGAGATTCTCATCCATCCACCCCATTTCATGACATTTTACTATCATACCATTTTTTGGCAGAGTTTTCTGTTTAAAAATTACATAAGGGGGCATGTTCTTGCCATCCCCATATTTACCAAGCAGGACTGTGAACCTATTCTTCTCATTTCCAGTTGTTTTTATTGGAACAGACTTCACCCCACCTCCCTGTGAATTCCAGAGTTTGAAAACAAGGCACATCAAAAGTCAAAGGTGTTTGGTCAGCATTTCCAATACAGCCTAAAGAATAGTTGTGCTTTTTTCTTAGATGAAAAACAAAACGCTGAAAATTCAAAAGTTTATCTTTGTAGTCATCAGGCAAACATTGATGCTATGGAGGTTCTTCTAATAGATAGGAGAAACCTCTTCATAAAAAGAAGACACCATTTTGCTGAAGCTTTAATAAATGTGTTTCCAAGATATATGCTTTTCATAAGTTCTTTTTGCCTTCATCCTTATTTCCAACAGTACTTATGGAACATCCACTTGATCATCTTTCTTTCACAAATTCAACTAAACTTTGTTCCATATCTGGATATTGAACTTTTCTTCCTCTACCTATAGCTTTGGCAATTGATTTACACTTTTTTCGTTCATTTTTATTCTTTCTACATAAACATATGTTAGCCTCATTCATCTCATATTCTCTGGCTGCAGCTCAAAATATTCTTTCTATTAATTCTATTACGTTTTGTTTAAAATTTGCACTGTAATTTGCATGTTTTGATGACATTTTGGCAGTAAAA